TGGCAGGGCATTGGTAGCCAATCAAGTGCAAAGGAACATGAGTGAATTGACCATGATACAAGATTATAACAGAGTGTGGGTTATAAAAACTGTAATCGGAATATTTTTCCAAATTTTCCAAAAATTTCGGGAAAACTTTCCAGAAATTTTTTTTATGAAACAAAAAAAAATCGGAAAACAAAAGAATTTTATTTTTGGAAAAGATTTTGAAATATTTTTCAAAAATTTGAATAGGAAAAATTTTTTTATAATTTAGATGGCGTGTTTTCTGAAAATATTGAAAAATGAAAAAAAAAAGAAAATAACAGTTGAATTAAAAAAAAATTATATTCGCAAGAATGTCAAGAAAATTATTTAAAAAACAGCCCGAAACAAATTATTGAAAAGTTTTTTAAAACATTTCCCAAAAATACAATTATTTTGTTTCCCGATTTTTTTTGTTTCAAAAAAAAAATCGGAAAAGTTTTCCATCAATTTTTTAAAAATCTGGAAAAAATATTCCGATTAAAATTTTTTTTATCCGAGTGGATAAATCCAATAAAAAAATCGACATCATTTCGTATCTCATTCCATATAAATGCCTCCCCTCTCAGTTTCATTATAAATTTCATCTAATTGCACATTTCTAATTTCGACACCGCGAGCTGTAATTTTTTTATTTAAAACTGAAGAGATGATGGAGATAATTCAATTTATTTACAATAAATCTGGTTGAATGGTGGGATTTTCTTGATTCGAAATGAGTTGTTTTTTCTTTGGAGTTATTGGCAACTACAATTGTCCACGAGGAGTACAAAGAGTGAAGAGAGAGGAGGGTCAACTTTAGGTCGAAATCCCATAACGTAATGTCGTCGTGGCTAGGAGCGATACATCATTTTCGGCTGGAATGATCTTACGGTAGATTTACCATTCGTACAGTTTATGGGCGTTGGTCTGGGTCATAAACTTGCTTGGCAATGACGGCGACCAGAGGGAGAGAAGGTTGACTGTACGTTGAAATGAGTATATGTCCGAGTGAGAACCATACATATTGTACTGGAAGGAATTGGAAGGGATGTTGCAATTGGTGAGTTTGGCGAAATCCCCGAGTCTTGAGGGGGAATTGTTTAAATTTGAGGGAGCGACATGTCCACGGATAGAAATTTCCAGCTATTTGTCGTGCATCGTGTTGACGATGACAGAAAATCGAGGGATAGGATAAATTAAATTAATAGAACGAGACCGATCAATTATTTAATCTATTCTAACTGGTTGGCTGTCAACTTAATGTTGTGTGGATTTTCTATCCGCATGGGATACACAAATTATCATTCGATCTGATGACCACCACCGGTTTAGACTCACAATTACGATAATTATGCAAAGATTTGATGTGTAGGATCAATTTGAGTAATAAATGGAAATAGTCGACTGTTTGGATTGGGATGAAAATGGAAATTGACCCCGGTCGAGCGTTAACTCCAGTGATTTGCATTGACGATTTCTCCGACATGACGAGTGTGTGTGTAACTACTGGATTTATGCTCATCCTAATTAATAAGCTGTTGTGCACTGAGATAATGGCTCTGGGGAGTACAATGTAATTCACAGATTTGTGAATAATTTTGGCCCTTCGAGAATTATTTTTCGAATTAAAAATCGACCGAATCAATCGCATCATCAAAAAATTCAGCGTTATGGAGATTTATTATTCCCTAACAATTTTTATTCTATTTCATTTTTTAGTTCATATTTTGTTTTAATTTTTTATTATATAAATTTTGTAATTTTCGTTTTTGGCGTATATTATTTATTTATATTCAAATTTACACTGCTTTAAACAACGTGATGACATCTAATAATTTATGGAGGAACTGAATTAAAGTACAAGTGTCAATTTCATGAGCTCAACGGATGGTAACTCAGACGTTTCCATTATCCAGGGATAAAGCAGAAAATCAGAGCCTGAAGAAAACGTCATTATCATCCGCAGGACCGACGCAACCGAGATCTTCTTAACCATTTGTCCGAAATTTCGAAACGATAAGGAAATTATCAAACTATTGATAAAATCTACTGATAAGAGGTAAACAACCGATAACAAATGCCCGAGCGCCTGATTTCACCGATTTCCATTAATCCTCAAATAATCTTTAATTACCACTTCAATTAATCGCGAGTAATCCCCCATCCTCCCTTTTCCATCTTAAAAATAAGAAAAACTATAATTATTTTAATGAAAAAATGTTCCATTGGCCTTTCACGTCGCCCCCCACCCAATTATCAACAAATAAAAATCGTTTAACGGCTGAATAATTATCCCCGAATCGGCGGAATGAATGGGTTAAACTCGAAACTCATCGATCTGGAAATAAAGGTTGTAGTAGATACAGAGGTTGCAGATAATACTGATCGTCGACCAAATACACTTTCGATTTCAAGTTGCGAAAGACCAATCGACTACCACCTGCAGGATTATAACTCACTTCCAAGACTCGTACTTTTACACAAAGGTAGAGAAGTTTAAATGAGGCACAATACACAAGCTTTACGTTTAATAGATGGCCGTAGTCAAGGCCATTGAATACATACACCACGTGATTCCTCCAGTAACCGGTTCCATCGACTCTGGAGAAATGATAGTTGGAAGCTATCACATGAGTAACACAGGATTCCACAAATTATACAATCGATTTCAAGTCGTAAATTCAGTCTGACGAAAAAAATAATTACATCATGACCGAATTTCATCCAAACGCAGGTTGAGGTTCAGGTTCACGCTCAGGTATGTAGCCTTTGGTTGAACCTGTTAATGAGATATCTATAATGATATTGATGGGAATTAATTGGCTGGGCATAAATTATCATTCCATCCAACCGTTAAAAAATCGTTAAAAAATCGTTAAAAAATGGAAGGTGATTAATTTCTAATCAGGAATTGAACTTTCATCGAAACAAATTTTTTCATGGGTAGATCTTCACGATATTCACGATCTTCGCGATTTTCGTCTAGAACCCGTTTTTTTTTTTTTATTATTTGGTCAGTGGACTGCTGTGGCCATGACCCAATCATCGAAAGTGTTTCGCCTGCGTTTTTATTTCTACCGCGAATCTCTGTCAGGAGCATGAAAATAATCTGACACAGGATACACTTGACCCACTCGTCTCGAATCACGGAGTATACCTCCACATTATTATTCTTAATGACTGGAAATTAGTGGATAAGTCTTACGTACTTTTTTACGTACCTTTTGCACACCTGAGGAAATGACGAAGTTCGCGGTTTTGGGTCGCACGTGTGTATTGCGTGCTCGCGGTATTTTCTTGCTTTTTCGATCATTTTTTATTTTTCCCCTTTTTCCATAATTTTTCGGGATTTCCCGGATTTATCGTAACAAAATTCAAACATTTCCTTCATCAATTTATATTAATTAATATTAGTTAATGAATTGATTAAAAATGGAATATTCTAGATTCAAATATTTTTTTTTGTTATGAGAAAATCCGGAATTGATGAATTTATAATTAAGTCAATGGTGTTTTCTGATGAATATATTTTTT